GACTGTAGGCATACTATCGAAGATACGGTACTATGTTCCACAGTCAGCCCTCCTGGCCCTTTATCACTCTTATTTACCCCTATCTCACCTATGGAATTTGTGCATGGGGCTCAACAACAATTAACCATCTCAGACCACTAATTACCCAACAAAAGGCTGCAGTTAGAATGATGATAAATTCTCACTACAGGCAACACACTCCACCAATATTCAAAACACTCAACCTACTCACCATACAAAACATCCATACTTATTATTGCACCTATTACATACATAGAACACTTAACTCTGATATTAACCCTCCCCTCAAACATCATCTTGCCAACCTCAACAGGACACATGACCATAACACAAGGCACAGATCACTCTTTGATGTTCCTCGTGTCCATCTCACGCTATGCAAAAACTCAATGCACATAAAAGGCCCTAAAATCTGGAATTCATTACCTGTAAATATAAAAGAAACACTACCTGTTTATAAATTCAAGTCTCTTCTCAAAGTTCACTTACTCAAAACCAAATAAATACTGAATAACTGAACCATATAAATTGTATATCCAAAATGTTACTCACAATTATATCACATAAATGTTAAACCTAGGACCCAATCTAACTTTATTTTTTTTAAATACACTACCTAACAGAATACTCCATTCTACTGAATGAACAGCAATGCATGCAACCATATGACCTGTCTTTGTAATACTCATTTGTGCTTTATAGTTATAATGATTTCATCATTGCTTAGTTAATCTTAAGTTAATTTTAAGCCAGCCCGTAATGCTATGCATATAAGTGGCTTTGGCATGCTGCTCTTACCTGTATTTTTTTTGTACCTCTGTATGTATGCTAAAATTTCTAAATAAATAAAAATAAATAAATAAATTACTAGGAGAAAGAAAAAAGTTCGTACAAGTTTACTTAGGATCTGTGTAAAAATGAAAAACCACCTAGAGGCTAGGAAGTAGAGTAGGGAAAATGTTGATGTAACTGAAGACAGGCAGACTTAGCAGGAATGGAAGAAAAATACATGGTTGCCCGTATGCATGACGTGTTGTAAAAATACATGGAATACCTTTTTAACTTTCAGTCCAGTTACAGTCAGAAATGTGCGCGCGCGTGCGCGGGCGCGGGCTTTCCTCCAAGAGTATGTATCCTACATGTGGTAATATATGCATACACACGCCCACTGGTATCTGACTCAGGCTTGTTCAAACTCCCCTGGCCGAGCACCTCTGTTTTTTGTAATTATTTTTTAAACATTCAAAAGTTATAAGGAGCAATATTTACTCCCACGGGAAATGTTCCACCGTGTGCACAGTGATTGCTGGCAAAATTCTAAATCTGGTGGTGCTGCTGCCCTCTACCTGCCCATCTGTCCAGAACTGATACTTCGTAGCAACGTCAATCAAAAGTATTTTGTCTAGACTTATTTCATGGTTGATGGGGAAGGTAGATGGGTACCAGAGATGTTAGCTGTAGTGCAGCTTAAATTAATTGTTTTGGCAAAAAGTCAAGAATATTAAAGAGCAGACAAACGATGTTTTGGTTAAGAATTAATGCAGCCATGGATACATGTGGTACTTAGTGCTTATACTACGTAGGTTTTCTCTCAGATTTTGATATTGTGACATAACATGTCCACAGTGTTCTGTTACCCTGTTTTTGTCATTAATCTGTTAGGTCATTCTTAGTACATGTATGTTTATTCTCAAGTGAACGTGTTTAAACCATAGCGTATCATGTTGCAAACCTGATTCAACCGGACCTTGATTGCCGACAACTGGAAATTTATAATAGAATAGATAACAGTTCTAGTGGATTAGTCGCTAATCATTTGTTTGAAGGGTAAATCTTAAACTGCGCGCTGTCACTAAGCTGAATTATTGTACCCAAAACTCGGTCCCTTAAAATGGGAATTTAAAAAATAAATTGTATAAAACACAAAGTAAAAACAATTGCGTGTATGTACACTAAGGGACAGTAACCGTCCAATTTCATCACGAACCCTTGTGCAGTATCGTTTACGTAATTTTTTCAAAATTTTAAATACATGAGCAATTAAAATGTATAAAAATGGCTAAATATTACTGCATGTTTGGGGGCATGATTCATCCCCCCACACTTCAATTTTGTTATTGAAAAAGTCAGTTAAAACTAGTTAATAACATTAACTTTGTTGCGTTTGACTCCCATAGCTTCTTTTTGTGAAAGGTTGTTGATATATACAAGGTAAAGGTACATGTTTATACATAGGTAATTTGTCTTTCTAAAGTTATTTAAATTTGTCATAAGTCCCCAACCATGAAATCACCTGTAACCCGGGTTTATTAGTTAAAAACCCTGTGGGTCAACAACTGGGCCTTCTAAATTTCATATGTATGTTCGTCGTCACTCGTTATGTAATTAATTGCACTTAGAAGACACTACCACCTTTGGGGAAATTTTTCTTCAAAAACGGGGCTAAATATTTTTTTGTATAAAAGGAATTGATTTTTTTTTCCTTTAAACAAATCCCTTATCAAACAATAATGGGTTTAAAAAATATGTTAGTAAAATTTTAAATTTGTGAAGCCCTTTTTTTTCCCGAAGGGAGGTTCCTTGACTTTGGGGTGAGGGGCTCTTGATCTGGGAAATTGGGTCTGTGCCCCATTCCCCTGAACCTTCCAAATCCCCTTCCTTCCCCCCCCTCAACAGGCGCTGTATAATCCTAGGGGTTTTAGCTTTTCCCAGATTATAATGAAAGTGCCTTGCTATAATGCTAATTCTGTGAGACCAGCCTTTCGTTACTCTGAGTAGTGGGTTTACGGGGGGATATAAAACCCTGGTCAGCGCCCTTTGGGAGGGGTGGAGGACTCAAAAATGCTCCCACCGGGGCAACTGCTTTTTTTTTCTTGCAAAATGTGAATATTTCCCCTTAAAGTTTAATCCCGGAATATGGATCCGCAATGATCTTTTAATTTTAAATTCCCAATATTTTTTTTTTAAAGCTTTTCGGATTAAGGGATTTTTTTAATGATGAGAAGAGCAACAGGTGTGTGGGGAGAAGAGAATGGTGAGGCTTTTGTTGACTCATCCTCATTTTCCTCTTCTATCTTTTCCCGTTCCGTCCTGAGCACAGGGGTATGGTAGGCCCCCTTTTTTTTTTTTTTAGACTATTTTGTCATAGTCTTTTTTTTTCTAGGTTAACCCTGCGGTTCAAAACATCAGGAGGACTGACAGGGTACAAGGATGTAAAGTAGGTTTATGCGTTGGCCATGTTATCAAAGGTAATGAACAGGTACTCAGACTATGTATAGAGTGCGCTCTCTTGAAAATTTCTACCAAGGGCTTTTGGGCCATATTCATCGGTATATCTTTGGAAAACCTACTATATTATGTTTGGTAGCAGAGCAGGTTTTGCGCAACTTAACATTAAGATCGACAACACTCTAATTGCCAGACATAATGAGGGCAAATTCCTTGGCCTATACCTCGACAACAACCTAAATTTCAGCACCCATATCCAACACATAACAAAAAAAGTATCCAAAACGGTGGGGATCCTCTCCAAGATACGATACTACGTGCCGCAAACTGCCCTTCTCACACTATACCATTCACTTATATATCCATACCTCACCTATGCTATCTGTGCTTGGGGTTCAACTGCAGCAACACACCTAAAGCCAATAATAACCCAATAAACAGCCCCAGTAAGAATAATCACTAAATCCCATCCCTGGCAACTCCCCCCCCCCACTCTTCATAGATCTAAACTTACTCCACACTTACTACTGTGCAATCTATATCTACAGGACCATAAATTCCAATATTAACCTTGACCTAAAACGCTTTCTTGATAGTTGTGACAGGATCCACAGGCATATCACCAGACACAAACATCTCTGACATTCCCCGTGTTCGACTGAACCTTTACAAAAAATCAATGTATTTCAAAGGGCCTAAAATATGGAACACCCTACCTGAAAACTCTAGAACTGCAGACACATTCATCACTTTCAGAACTACAGTTAGAAAACATATCTCCCTGATACACCCCGACAACTAACTACATGATAACCACCTGGTGGTTCGCAATTACTCACTCACCCACTGACTATAAACCCAGAAATACTAATCTTAATCTTAAAATAATAAATCCTAACTAGTCATAAGTTTGTCTGATACTCCAATATAGACGTTTGTATTGTGCCAAAACAAAAGCATTCACATTGTTAAACTCACAAATTATGATGTAGTCACTTAGCCTTAATACCATAATCTGTAAGGATTTAAAGTTAAGAATTAATCTAAGTCTGCCTGAAATGCCTAGCCATGCTAGGCGTCCTAGTGGCCCCTTCTGTAATTAGTATTTTATAACATGTAAACCACACAATACCCAAAACCTGTAAACCCCACATTGTGACCCTTATTATTATTATAATCAAGGGGGAAGCGCTAAACCCGGAGGATTATACAGCGCCTGGGGGGGGGATGTGGAAGGCATTCAGGCTTAATTCGGGGAACTGGAGCACAGATCTAATTCCCTAAATCAAGAGCCCCTCACCAACATCAAGGAACCTTCCTTGAGGGGAATTGTGACCCTTAGAGAAAATTGAATTGAAAGTAACAAGGGGAGGGGGGTGATGTTAGATGGAGCTGACAGTGGGGTAAAGTGTACGAATGTTGTCTTGTGTTAAATCGAGCTGAATGACTGGTCCCAACATTAAACTTTAGAACTGGTCTAGGACCAGACCTAAAGTGTTAATGAAATATTGCAAGAAATAAGTTCAGAAAGTGTAGTACATAACAAAGAAAGGATAATAGTAACCATTTGTAAGTGTTAATGTTATAAATATAACCATAATTTTTAAAGGGGTGGACCGGTAAGCCAGGGGAAGGCCTCTGTCAGATGACCAAAAGCTCCAGCAGCAGGTCATCTGACTAAGACCCGCGTCAGGGAACACTTGTTCTGTTTCCTGACGAACCTAACCTAACCTTAATATGTTTACCCGCAGGACAAGATGGCTGGAATCCTGAAGGGGATTCGTGCTGCCTTTGGTGATGTAGAAATGGCACCATATACTGTCATGGCTGAGAGAGATGCAAGTATATTGTATGCTGCATTTGTTTGTCTTTAAGTGGTTAACCCCCAGTATTTCAGGTTTTTCACACGTGGAAAATTGTCAGGATTACTTGATTCTACTCTCAGCAGTGTCTTTTCTCACCTTCCCCTTTTTCCCATTGTTCCCTTCTGTAATTTCTCCATATCTCTTCTCCCTCCATAATTCTTCCGCCCATATCTCTTCTCCCTCCATAATTCTTCCCCCCCCATATCTCTTCTCCCTCCATAATTCTTCCCCCCCCCCATATCTCTTCTCCCTCCATAATTCTTCCCACCATATCTCTTCTCCCTCCATAATTCTTCCCACCATATCTCTCTCTCCCTCCATAATTCTTTCCCCCCATATCTCTCCTCCCTCCATAATTCTTTCCCCCCATATCTCTTCTCCCTCCATAATTCTTCTCCCCATACTCTCTTCTCCTCAATAATTCTTCCCCCCCCATACCTCTGCTCCCTCCACAATTCTTCCCCCCCCATACCTCTGCTCCCTCCACAATTCTTCCCCCCATACCTCTTCTCCCTCCACAATTCTTCCCCCATACCTCTTCTCCCTCCACAATTCTTCCCCCATACCTCTTTCTCCCTCCACAATTCTTCCCCCCATCTCTCTTCTCCCTCCACAATTCTTCCCCCCCCATATCTCTTCTCCCTCCACAATTCTTCCCCCCCATATCTCCTTCTCCCTCCACAGTTCTTCCCCCCATGATCCAGAGGGGACTAGTACCGAACTTGCACACGAACAATCAACCCACTACGAAAGCAAAAGACTTGGCAGACGATGCACCATCCCCCCAATGAAAAGCAGGGTTTCATCTAGCACGTTAAGACCATACAATAAGTGCAGCCAGGGGCCTAGACTGTCAACTGCCTCCAGCACACATTATGGGGGATTACCAACAGACCCCTGGCAGTCTTCAAGCTGGCACTGGACAAGCACCTAAAGTCAGTTCCGATCAGCCGGGCTGTGGCTCGTATGTTGGTTGGCGTGCATGCCAGCAGCAACAGCCTGTTGATCAGGCTCTGATCCACCAGGAGGCTGGTCACAGACCGGGCCGCGGGGCGTGACCCCCGGAACTCTTCCAGGTAACTCCAGGTAATATCCTTCTCCCTCCAATTCTTCCCCCCCATATCTCATTTCCTCCACATATAATCTTCGCCCCATATCTACTTCTCCCTCCACAATTCTTCCCCAATCTCTTTCCCTCCACAATTCTCCCCACATACTCTTGACCCTCCACAATCATTCCCCCCATATCTTTCTCCCTCCAACAGATTTACATTCCCCCCATACTCTTCTCCTCCACAATTCTTCCCCCCATATCTCTTCTCCCTCCACAATCTCCCCCCCCTATCTCTTCATCCCTCCAAATTCATCCCCACAATTCTACCCCCCAGTCCCTTCTCTCCTACAATTCTTCCCCCATAATCTTTTCTCCCTTAACATTCGTTCCCCCCCATATCTCTTTCCCTCCACATTTTTCCCCCCATCTCTTCCCCTCACACATTCTCCCCCCCAATCTCTTCTCCCTTGCACAATCTACCCCCTTATCTCTACTCCTCCCACAATTCTTCCCCATATCTCTTGGTCCTCCACAATTCTCCCCCCATCTCACTTCTCCCTCCACAATTCTCCCCCCATACCTCTACTCCGCCCAAAATTTCTTCCCCCAGTACTCTTCTCCCTCCACAATTTCTTCCCCCATGACCTGCTATCCGCCTCCACAATTCTCCCCCCATACTCTTGCTCCCTCCACAATTCTTCCCCCCATACCTCTTCTCCCTCCAAAATTCTTCCCCCCCCATATTTCTTCTCCTCCACAATTTACACACCCCCATATCCTCCCTCCACAATTCTACCCCCATATCTCTCCCTCCACAATTCTACCCCCCATATCTCTTCTCCCTCCACAATTCTCAACCCCCATATCTTTTCCCTCCACAATTCTACCCCCCCATATCTCTTCTCCCTCCACAATTCTACCCCCCCATATCTCTTTCCCTCCACAATTCTTACCCCCCACATATCTCTTCTCCCTCCACAATTCTACCCCCATATCTCTTCTCCCTCCACAATTCTACCCCCCATATCTCTTCTCCCTCCACAATTCTACCCCCATATCTCTTCTCCCTCCACAATTCTACCCCCATATCTCTTCTCCCTCCACAATTCTACCCCCCATACCTCTTCTCCCTCCACAATTCTTCCCCCCATACCTCTTCTCCCTCCACAATTTTTCCCCCCCCCATACCTCTTCTCCCTCCACAATTCTTCCCCCCATACCTCTTCTCCCTCCACATTTCTTCCCCCCATACCTCTTCTCCCTCCACAATTCTTCCCCCCATACCTCTTCTCCCTCCACAATTCTTCCCCCCATACCTCTTCTCCCTCCACAATTCTTCCCCCCATACCTCTTCTCCTCCACAATTCTTCCCCCCATACCTCTTCTCCCTCCACATTTCTTCCCCCCATACCTCTTCTCCCTCCACAATTCTTCCCCCATACCTCTTCTCCCTCCACAATTCTTCCCCCCATACCTCTTCTCCCTCCACAATTTTTCCCCCCCATACCTTCTCCCTCCACAATTCTTCCCCCCATACCTCTTCTCCTCCACAATTCTTCCCCCCCATACCTCTTCTCCCTCCACAATTCTTCCCCCCATACCTCTTCTCCCTCCACAATTCTTCCCCCCCCATACCTCTTCTCCCTCCACAATTCTTCCCCCCCATACCTCTTCTCCCTCCACAATTCTTCCCCCCCCATACCTCTTCTCCCTCCACAATTCTTCCCCCCCCCATACCTCTTCTCCCTCCACAATTCTTCCCCCCCCCCATACCTCTTCTCCCTCCACAATTCTTCCCCCCCATACCTCTTCTCCCTCCACAATTCTTCCCCCCATACCTCTTCTCCCTCCACAATTCTTCCCCCCCCCATACCTCTTCTCCCTCCACAATTCTTCCCCCCCATACCTCTTCTCCTCCACAATTTCCCCCCATAACCTCTTCTCCCTCCACAATTCCCCCCCCATATCTCTTCTCCCTCCACAGTTCTTCCCCCTCCCACAGCACCCCTCCATAGTTTCCCCCAATCTCTTCCCCCCCCTCCACAGTTGTTCACCCATATCTCTTCCCCCTCCACCATTCCCTCATAATTTATATATTTTATTCTTATCCCTCGCCCTGACATGTACGGACTACTTTATAGAAAGCACCCTTATTATGTTAAGCATTTTGGGCAGGTGTAAATGAACTTGAAACTACTGTACTTAATAGTTTATATAATTAGGTTTATTAGAAACCTGTGAATAGCAATTTTTGACTTTCATAATACAGTTGGATTTGATTTGAAGTTGGGTTTTTGTAACAGTTTGGTACTTTTGCAGTGGTGATTACTGTATCATGAATAGCATTTGTCATTACTTATCTAATTCACAAATCTGTATTCCTCATTGATCCAAGAAATGCCTTGTACAGTATATCCATTGGATTTTGTTAATTTTCAACTGTTTATACACAGGTTTATGAAGAGCGCATATATCCAGCCAGGAAGTGGGCGTGTATTACAATGGCAGGCTTGAGTCAGCAAGAACTAGTCAGTCCTATGTTTCGTGCCCTCTTCAATTATATCGCTGGCAAGAATGATCCTAGTGAGTAGTTAATAGTTTAATACGTATCTTTATTAAGCACCCTCATACCCATCCTGTGGGCAGTAGTCAAACCTAGAGTATAACTTCCTCGTTGGCAATGACTAGTGTAGTATATTATGAGTATTGTATTTAATAAATAAATTTCACTCTACAGTATTTACAAAATACAGTAAGTGCTAAATATTTAAAATTTTATTTTTGGTCTTTAGAGTAAGAAAAAACAAAGTTTATTAATTTCCTTGCATTTTTTTTTCTAGACATCAGAATGGACATGACCTCTCCTGTGACAACTTATGTAGTGCCAGGAGCTGGACCAGCATGCGAGTCCACTTTCACTATGGGATTCTTAGTGCCTGAGGAACATCAACAGATTCCACCACCTGCAGCTGACAAGACTATCTTCATTGAGGAACGTCCAGAATTAACAGTTCTTACAAGGTATGTTTGGTTTTTATATACATGTAAATATTAGCAGTTTGGAGGGATATGTTGTGTATCTTTATACGTATATGCTTCTAAACTGTTGTTCTGAGCACCTCTGCAAAAAAGTGATTGTGCGAGTGTGGTGAAAGTGTTGAATGATGACAGTATTTTCTTTTTGGGGATTTTTTTCTTTTTGGGTCACCCTGCCGCAGTGGGAGATGGCCGACTTGTTAAAAAAAAAAAAAAGTAAATATACTGGTTGTCTCCCATGGAGGTAAGGCGACCAAAAAAGAAAAGAAAAAAAAGAAAAGAAAAAAAAAAAAAAAAACCTAAGCAACACATTCACTATTATTCAGTGAGTTGTTTTGCCATAAGTTTACAGACATGATTCAAATTCCCCTCATTCCCTTAATGTTTTATTCACACTCCAACAGCATGTAAAGGCATAAAATTTACTCCTTTGCTCTCTGATTTAACTTGCTCACAGAAGTCAGCTGGATGCTCAAGCACCTAGCACTAAAAACCTTTATACCCTCCCTCCCAACCCTTCCTGGAATGACCCATAACCCTCCTTCCTTCCTCCCCTAGATTTATACATCCTCTTTAGTCCTCCCATTCTGCTCCATGCTATAGATGTCCAAACCACTTCAGTAACCCTTCTTCCGCCCTCTGAATTATACCTTTGGTAATACCAAGCAGTTTTCTAATATTTTTGCTGTGAATTCTCCACATACTATTCACACAAATTGCTCTCAAATATAGCACCTTCACTGCTGCTAGCTGCTGCCTCTACAATGTTTTAAACCCATAGCTTGCCCTGTGTTGGTACCACTGTTAATCTGGTACATTACCCTTTTAGTCTCCATAGATAAGCTTTCTTTCCACAAATATCTCGACACATCTTCTGACATGTCCACTCTCAACCTCCTAACCTCTGATGTCTTCCATATACTTTAACTCTTCATGGTAATAATAGAACAAATTATTTTCAGGCGTTTTGGAGGATATACCAATGATGAGGTTATAATAAAAGAAGCTAAAGAACTTGCAGAGGCAATAAAGAAAAATGGAGAAATTGGAGTGAACTTCAATCAGTACTACGTTGCAGGATATGATCCACCCTTTAAGTTATTTGGAAGGCGCAATGAAATCTGGTTTGTTAAAACGAAGAGTACTGACAATCAAGAAGGAAAAGAATTGACTGCAAATGAAGATGAGAGCAAGATGAAGGAAGCAAATGGATCTATTGTCAAAGATTCTGAAGATATTAAGAAAGGTGATCAAAAGGATGAGTGAAGTTGATAAATAGCAACGGATGGGGTACAACAGGAAATAAAAGGCTTGAATATACAAGTAGGTTTATATGATTACTCCTGAAAAGTTATATTTACTAGTGGAAGTAATGACTGTGATTATATTGCAGGTGTAAAAAAATCACTGTAATGTTAGGTATGTTCTAGTGGCCTTATAGGTTATGTCAAAAGGATATAATTGGCTTTAGAAGTTTTATAGTATGTACAGAGTTGACAGCTTTAAATTCTATAGTAAAATGTTTAATGTACATTTTTCTGCCTTTGATTGGCATGGATTATAGGTGCAGAAAAGTTTTGCTACAGCAAAATGAATATTCTCACCCATATTTTCTGTGGATTACATGTGATTGCTAAACCAGCATGCAAGATTAAAAACTGGAAAATTCTATCTAGTATTTAAGCATAGATAGGGTCATTACTTGCAGTATTGGGAAAGTTTACTCAGAACAACCCTGTAAATCATTCGGGGGGGTAGGAAACCAAATGAAAATATAAAAGCTTGGATTATAAACTCAGCTTTAACATTTAACTTTTTGCAGTCAAACTATCCCATATCTCCATTTTGCAAGCTTAATTAGCCAAACCCCCCCCCCACCTTCTCACTATTATTTTTTTCACTTCACAGAGTTGTTTTCCTCATGCAATTTTAGTGCTTACAAGGTTAAGGATCTGTGGTTGTAATTTGTAATTATTTTGATCACGGTATTTTAGATGGTTCCATTTATGTGTAATTTAATTTTTTGAATGGGCCATGTTCTCGCATGCAAATTAAAAAAAATCCAAATATAGGAAGGTCTTTAACTTGCAAACCCCACAAGTTACACACTTAAAAGCCAATTAAAATGGTATATTATTTGAGTTTAGGGCTATAACTTGTGTGAACTTGCCATATTATTACAGTATGTTACCATTGAGAAATGGTACAAATGTCTGAAATATTCTTTGTACTATTGTTTTTCTATACAAAATTTGTTTGCAAGTGAGACACCGAGAATAGAGTAAGTCACTTTGACTTTTTTGGGTTATCGTAGGTAATTTACACATTTGTTACTATGTACGATAATTGTACTTGTGTGTACCTGTGCCTAAATGAACTTGCTTGTAAGTTTGGGGTTATACTGTAGCTATGCGAGATGATAGAAGTGCATTGAACATTCATGTTGCTAGTGATAAAATGTTTTAGTACATAAGACTTTTTCAAGCTTGAACAATTTGCCTGTAACTTAAAAGATCATGTTAAGTTTTGCTAACTATTTTCTCAGTATTTACAAAATTGATCTTCCAAATGAGAATATAAATTGATAAAATCTATTATGCTAAGAGGATTTAATAGGATTACTTTAAGAAAGAGATCAAAAGAACACTGCACTACATATGAACATCTAATTTAGAGGATACAATTGATTGTCTAGATTTTAAAATCTCTTGGTTCTTGTACTTGTCCCTAGAATGGTGCACATTTTGGAAAAATATATAATGTAGGGACCAATTTTGTTAATATTAAGCAGGTGACCCAAGTAATTTTATTCGGGTTTCTTTCAACGAACCGGCCACATCCCACCGATGCAGGATGACCGAAAAAGAAAACCAAGAGTTTTCCTTACAAAATTTAGTAATTTATACAAGAGAAGGGTTACTAGCCCCTTGCACACTCTTATTCAGTTATCATGCATGAATTAAATCTAAATTTTTTTATATAAATGAAAACCTGAATTCTCAAGAGTTCATCACCAGTGAGTCTCTTATGTCTATTAAATATTCCTCTATTTGGAAGCTGTTTAGAATAGATTTAGCTGTTGCACTAGTACGGTATAAAACTTTACCCATATTTATAGTTTTGTTAATTTGCTGAACTGTTAACCACAATTTTAAACAATTTATTGTAAATGCTTAATCTTGATGGATGTTCTTGTTGTATTCAGTATTGTTTTGTTGTGGGTACTGTTGTTGGGTGGACAGTAATTTTTTCATCCTTTCTCTTCTTTCTCAAAGATACTGATCAGCTTTTATATATTTTTAATTAAGATAAATTGTTAAAACACTTGTGATTTTGATTAGTTTATAGTTTTTTTAATTTTACTCGCCAAACTTCTTTGTTGTGTTGTTTAGATCAAAGTAAACCAACTTAATTTATAAATATGCTAGCAGGAAATGTAAAATGTTAAATTATTATTTTAGCAAAGTAGATGCGATATTTTTTTACTTCACCCCTCTTAAAAGAATCTCACGAACTTCATTGTACACAACTTTTGTTAAAGCATTCTCATTGTTGCACTTCCATAGAGGTAAGGTTATTGCATATGTTATTTTTTGTAATAAACTAGTTGTACTGTATAGTCTTGTATGAAGCTCAATATTAAATAAATCTTATTCTTCAATTAATTTCTTTTCCTTTATCCACACATGCCCTCATTCTTTATACTGCTCTTTACCTGTATGGTTCCCATATTCCTGAATAGGATATGGTCAAATTTCTGGGGTTTTGTGTTTGATTGCCAAAGGTCCTGGAAGCCTCCCTGAAAGTTGCTAGTCATAACTGCCTGAATCTTTGAAACTCCATCCTGTCTTTCATGGAGAGCTGAGACAAACCATTCTTTGCCTTCATTCTGCCCTAATCTTAACCGGACTATGGTGACCCAGCTATATTCTTCAACCTCTCCAGCAATTAGTTCCAAATTTGATTGATCCCATTCATCAAGGGTTTGATTGTCTTGGGGCTTTTCAGTCTTCACCAGTTGAGAGCACATATGCAGAAGTAAATGCCCCATCTTTGCAAGATCAAAGCGATGTTCATTGTCTTCGTTATTTTATCAGTTTCAATGACTTACCCTTTGTTGGTCCCTGGTCATGTTGACGTACAGGGCAATGAACAGGCAGACACTGCTGCGCGGTCAGCAGTACATGACCTACCAGTTTCATATAGAGGTGTTCCATTTCTGGACTATTTGGCTGTAATAGCTACCCACCTTCACACCCGTTGGCAACAACGTTGGTCAACTCTGCTCGGTAACAAACTTCATTCTATTAAACCGAGCATAGGTTACTGGACGTCTTCTTATCAGTGCCGAGGTTGGGAGACTACTCTCTCCCGCCTTTGCATTGGCCACACTCGTCTTACTCGTGGGTATCTCGTGGAGAGGCACCCTGTTCCTCTGTGAGCAGCGTCAAGTTCCAGTATCGATTAGCCGCATTCTGTTTGACTGCCCTCTATCAATGAGAACGCAGAATTTACCTCCAATGTCGCCTATACGCTCTACTACTCTCTCTTTACCTTCCCTTCTTGCTGATGGACCCTCCTTTAATCCTGACTCTCATTGACTTCTTGACAGTAACTGATTTACTCCACAAACTCTGATGATACCTTTTGCACTCCCCTCAGCCCTTTCTACCTCAATCTCTTGTTGCCCTCTACCCTTTCACCATCCACTGCCCCGCTGTTCTCTGTAACCTATTACTCATCCCTCTCCCTTTTGCCACCTGATACCCTCGCTTCCTTCCTGCCCTGCAGCGCTGTATAGCCCTTGTGGTTTAGCATTTCCTTTTGATTATAATAATGACTTTCCTGATCCTTCTGCATATAGAACAGTAAAGGATATTAGTAAGGCTAGTTTGTTGAATCCCTTTCCCCATTTATTATGCCCTTTTCCTCTCCCTATTCATTCTCTACTGACTTCCCTTAATTTGCTCCCTTTTAAAACCCAACCCTGTTTTCTTGCTTTTTTTTGTCCAAATGATTCTTGTTGGGCTCTTCCTGTTTTTAAACTTGTTTTTTTTAAAAAAATATTCATTGCCCCTAAAAAATTTTGGCATGTGCAAAGGGTGCAGGAGGAAGCAGGGTATGGAGTTGGTCGTGTGGGGAGTTTTATTTCTTGTTGAGAGTAGTGCAGCAGAAAAATATAAAGACCAGTCCCAAGTTTCCCCAATCAAATGAATCAAGCGTTTAGAATAAAGGACTTTTGAAAAGGGGCCATACACTTTACTAAATTATTAGGGTTTTTTTTATTCTTTTTAAATGCCCCCAAAAAGGAAAAAACTGATCTCCCACCCCAAGATCCCCTATGTAAGGGGGCAGGTTTTTTGCTAGTTTTTTTCTTTCTTTCCCCCCCCCCTCCCAAGTTTTTAAATATGTTTTGCCATAAAGGGTCTTGAGCTAGGGATTTGGCCCCTTTTAAGGGGGGGTCTTGGGGTGGTGAAGAGGGGTCTTGGTCTGAGGAAAATTTGACCTGGCGGTCTACTTCCCCCGAAACCCACCAATTCCCCCCCAAACCCCCCCTTCTCTAACCATCCTCCCCCTCCTCCCCTTTTACCTTTCCTCCTCCTCCTCCCCACCCCTCCCTTTTTTTCCCCTTTATTTTTTTTTTTTTTTTTTTTTTTTCCCCCCGGCACGCTAGTTCCTAGGTGGGGAAAAAGGGGCCGGGGTCCTCCCATTCCGTTTTAGGGTTTTTTGGGGGTGGGGGTAGTTTGCCCTGGAATTGGTTGCCTGGGGATGTCCTGATTTTCCCCCCCCGGTATCCCGGAGGGTGGCTTTGGGGTGTCTCTCGGAGCGGGTGTACTCTGGAAGCCACCTTTTTGGGTTCCGGGGGGGTTTGGGGGCCGAAGGAGGTATGCTTTGTGGGAGATTTCCGGCCCCCCCTCTTTTGCCACCGAGGTTTGTCGGCAGATGTGAGGTTGTATCCCGGATTTTTCCGGGGTTTTCTGGCCCGAAAGGGTAGGGTTATGGCAAGGGTTCCTTGCTGATCTGCGCTACATGCGGGGGCTGGGTCCTCTTGGGCAGGAGGGGTTTTCTGGCCCCTTTTATTCCTCCCGGAACATCCCTCCCCCGGGCCCCCCCCTTTTATTCTTTTTTTTTAAATTTTTTTTTTCTTTTTTTTTTCTTTTTTTTCTTTTAAAAAAAATAAAAGAAAGAAAATAACCTAACCAAAGGCCCGCCCTAGGGCCATGAACCTTTCTACCCCCCGGCCCTTCTTGATTTCCCACCCCGTTCTGACCCCGCCTGTCTTTGGACCCCTCTTTGGGGCATCCCCATGCCTCTGTTCCCCTTGTCGGTGCTGTTTCCCCACCCCCTTCAGGTACTGGGCCTCGACTGGGCTCCTTCAAATTTTCTGACCTTCGCTTCCTTTGGAATTTTCTTCTGGCCCCTCCTTTACGGTGCGGCAATTTTCGAATCGCCCCGGGCCCCCTTCCCCTCGGACCAAAATCTGGGTTTCCCCCGCCCTTTAAAAGACAACGGGCAATTACCTGCTGGGTGATACTTCTCCACCCTTTTCGTTCTTCTCAGAAAATTTTAGGCTTAAAAAGGGTTAAGGATCGGGGGTTTGAAAAATTTGTAAAAAATTTGACAGGGAAATTTTTTAGAGGGTTTTCCATTTTTTTTAAAATATTAATTTTTTAAAATGGGCCATGTTCCCCCTGCAAATTAAAAAAAATCCAAATATGGGAAGGTCTTTAATTTGCAAACCCCCCAAAAAAAAAGGTTAAAAAAAAACCACTTAAAACCCAAATTTTAAAAAGGTAATTTATTTGATTTTAAGGCTAAAATTTGGGTGTAAAACTTGCCATTTTATTACTTTTTGTTACCTTTGTAAATGGTAAAAATTTCCCTGAAAAATCTTGTAAAATTGTTTTTCTATAAAAATTTTTGGGTATGGCAAGTGAACACCGAGAATAAGTAAGTCACTTTGACTTTTTTGGGGTTTTTCGAAAAAGGTAATTTACACATTTGTTACTAGTACGATTTTTAACCCCGTTGAATAACCTGGGGCCTAAAGGGAACTGCTTTTTAATTTTTTGGGGGTTATACGAAACCCTATGCGAAAAATGAAGAAGTAAATTGAACATTCATGTTGAAAGTGAAAAAAAATGTTTTAGTACATAAGACTTTTTCAAGCTTGAAAAATTTTGCCTGTAACTTAAAAAAACATGTTAAGTTTTGCTAACTTTTTTCTCATTTTTTTAAAAAATTTTATCTTCCAAATGAGAATAAAAAATTTGGAAAAAAATCTTTTATCTAAGAGGTTTTAAAAGGATTACTTTAAGAAAGAGATCAAAAAAACCCAACTGCACACAAAAAATGAAAAATCAAATTTAGAGGATAAAATTTTGGGTTTTGTCTAGATTTTAAAAATCTCTTGGTTCTTTACTTTTCCCTAGAAGGGTGCACATTTGAAAAATAATAAGGGTTGGACCAATTTTTTTTAATTTTAACATGTAAACCCAAAGTAATTTTAAATCGGGTTTTTTAAAAAAAAAACCCGGCCCAAAATTCCCACGATGCGGATGACCAAAAAAAAAAAACCAAGAGTTTTCCTTAAAAAAAATTTTAAAAAAATTTTAAAAGAAATTTTAAACTTAAGCCCCCTTGAAACACTCTTATTAAATTATCATCCATGAATTAAACAAAATTTTTTTTATATAAATGAAAACCGATTCTCAAGATTTTCCATCACCAGTGAGTCTTTTAACCCTATTAAATATTCCCTATTTGGAAGCTTTTTTGGAAAAGATTTAGCTGTTGCACTATAGGGTATAAAACTTTCCCCAAAATTTTTTATAGTTTTTTTTAAATTTTGCTGAACTTTTTAACCACAATTTTAAAAAATTTATTGTAAATCCCTTAATCTTGATGGATGTTTTTGGGTTGTATTCAGAAATTTTTTTTGGTTGTGGGTACTTTTTGTTGGGTGGACAGAAATTTTTTTTTCCACCCTTTTTCCCCTTCTTTTTTCAAAGATACTGTTTTTTTCAGCTTTATAATTTTTAATTAAGATAAATTGTTAAAACACTTGTGTTTTTTGATTAGTTTATATTTTTTTAAATTTTTACTCGCCAAATTTCTTTGTTGTTTTTGTTTAAAACAAAGAAAACCCAAAACTTAATTTATAAATATCTAGCGGGAAAATGTAAAATTTTAAAAATTTTATTTTAGCAAAGAAATGCGATTTTTTTTTTACTTCACCCCTCTTAAAAAATCTCACAAAACTTCTTTGTACACCACTTTTTTTTAAAGGGGAAAAAATTCTAAATTTTTTGGCCCCCCCCATGGGGAAAGGTTTAAATGCATAGTTTTTTTTTGTAATAAACTATTGTATTTGAATGTTTTGAAAGAAGCTCAATATTAAAAAAATCTTTCTTAAAATTTTAATTTTTTTTCCTTTACCACCATGCCCTATTCTTTAAAACTCCCTTTTTTACCTGTAGGGTTTTCCCATATTCCGTGGGAAATAGGGTTTAAAATTTCTGGGGTTTTTTTTGATTCCCAAAAGGGTCCGGGAACCTCCCGAAAGTTGCTAGTCAAAACGGGCCTGAATTTTTTGGAAACTCCATCCTTTTCCTTTTCCAGGGGAAAACCCCGAGACAAAACCATTCTTTGCCTTCTTCT